AGTTCAAAACTTACCAATAATAAAAATTTGAAAAACCATCTATGTTATATCAGTATTACAGGAGGTAAGCAGTATTATGGCAATAGCACTTTATTAATTAGTTGAGATCAGTACCTATAACACAGTTGCATCAGATAACTGGTAGGTCATGGGGCATCTGCATAATATTGGAGTTATACAGAAGAATGCAAACCAACATTAGACAGTACAAATCTAAAATAAGTTCTCATAGTCATATAAATCTATAAACTAAAAAACCATAGCTTACTTGAAAAGATCTGAGTAGAGAGGTAGCACAAATCTTTGACAGTACTACTGTAAAAGCTAGACCTAGGAAACAGATATCAATAAAGTTAAGATATCTTTTACAGCTAACAAAAATGTCAGAAAAGATAATTAATAAAATACATCAACCATTAATATGTTTGGCTAAACATAAGTACAATATGATGAGAATATTAAATAACTGTATAATTAAGCACAAGAACTTAGGTAATAGTAAAATACTAAGTCAGAAAATAATAACCAAGCAAATAAGTAGTCTTTTTTTAAGACTCAATAGACAAGATAGTTTGAGCAAACTAACAAGACTTAGAATAGTTTAAGAATGCCAAAAAGCAGACTTAACAGAAGACATTTGAAACAATAAAAGAAAAATAGAAGTTAAAAAGTTTTGAAAGAACAACCTAGCCTGTTGAACAATAGCTAAGCAAAAGAAATAGAAATAATCATCAAAGCAAAAAAACCTTTATAGAAGGTTTATGGACATAGTAAACAAATAAAAAACATGCTAGAAATAAAAACATGAATAGCAAGCAGTAGCACAATAAATGAATAAGGGTTATTATACTTGAACCAATTTATAGACATGAAAGGTGATAACCTGATCATATGAAGACAGCTCAAGAATCTCAAGATTTGTCATGCAAAAAAAAGAAAGCTAAATAGTTTAGTGAAATAGAAGAGAAGATATTAAAAACACAAGCAAGCAAAGAAATACAAGACCAATACAAAGTAAGAAGATACAATATACAAGCATTAAAGATTAAGTAGACAAAGATGTCTAAAGACTGAAAAAAAAAAAAATGGATTATTTACAGACCAAAACACAATCAACAAATAGGCAAAATAATTAAAAAAAAAAAGAAAAAAATATTAGCAAAACATTAGTCAATGCATATAGAAGAAAGAAGAATATCAATAGAAATAAGTATATGCAAAAGTTGTAAAAACAGTTCAGAACAGATAACAGACAAGTGTAAAAGATGAATAAGACAAGACTACAACATAAAAATGATATTAGAGTTGCTAATAGAGAAAGCTAACAATAGCAGATACTAGAAGATAGAATAATAGAAAAATGAAAAAAAAATGAATTGAAGTTACTAGGAATAAGACAAACAGAAAAATTAGAAATGGAACTGATTAAAAAACAAGAATTAAATAGCACAATTACAAATTAATTAGTAGAAATATTAACACAAAACAAAAAAAAAAAAAAAAAAAAAAATACAGTTTTTATACTGATAGAGCATTATACAAGAAAAAAAAACAGTACAAAAAGAATGAGTATTGGTTAGATACAAGTAAAAAAAAAAAGAAGATTGATCAGAAAAAGAAACTGCATTAGAACTTGAAAGCTAGCCTTTAGTAACAATAGCAGAATTGGCAAAAATATGAACAGCAATCCTAACAGTACAAGAAGAAAAAAGTATAAAAGTGTTTACAGATAGCATCACAGCATTAAGGAACATTAATAGAGTATTTCAAAATGTAAAAAAGGAAAAAATTCTGAAAAAGAAAATCACAATGTAGATAATAAACATTGTAGGTCTAATCAAGAGCAAGAACATTAGAATAGAAATAATTAAGATTAAAAGTCATAACAAAAATAAGTAGAATGACAGAATAGACTCTCTTGTAAAAAAAGAAACAAAATGCCAAAATAAAATATATGCAGATAAAATTAAATATGATAGAATAGAGTACTATTTAGACTAAGAAAACAAGAAAATTGATATATTGGCAAGACTTCTGTATAAAATAATAGCAAATATTAGAATAGAAACTAGTTAAAAAGAGACAAATCCAATATGAACATTAGAATCAGAAACAGAAAATGCATTATATAATTGGTCAAGTTTTTAGAAAAAAATAAACAGAACAAAAAGAGTTTATTGTATATCAAGAAAACTTAGTACAAGAAGAGTTACAACAATCAAATGTATAATGGATAGTCTACTAATACTTGAAGAGCTAAACAGAAAAAGACTAGAAATATATACAATAGTAGAGTATCAAGTATGTCAAGCTAAAAAAAAAAAAACTCAGGCACATTTAGCAAGTTGTAGTAAACAAAAAAATTTGTAGAAATAAGTTCAAAAGGTCACAACAGTAATAGCATGAAATGGACTCAAGGAAGAGAAAAAAAACAGAATTCTATTACAAGTTTTTTATAAGATATTATTTGGAGAAACAGAAGTTGAAGAAATCACAAACAGAAAAATGCTAATAAAAAGACTTACAATACTAAAAGTAGAAAAAAGATTGGAACAACTCCTAAGCAAGCAGGCAACACAAAAGTGTATAGATATAGTCACAAGAATAGTATAAAACATCTTTTATGATCAAGTATGAAGAGTGTGATGTAAAAAAATATAAGCTTGGAAAAAGAAAATTAATATAACAAATAAAATGAAAAAAAGTACTTGTATAAGAAAGAAAACAAAGAAAAGAATAAAGAAAGATAAGTAAGCAAAAAAAAAAAAAAAAAAGCAAAAAAGATAGACCAAATGAAGAAAGAAACTTTAAAGATAATAAATATGCTTGTCACAGAAGGGAAAAGACTCTTCTGGTATAACTTTAAGTAGTTATATAAGCAGTCTATCTTTAACTAGAATAGTGTAGCAGGTTACACTTAGATGCCATTAGAGTGGCTAAGTGATGTTAGACTTAGATGTTGGAAAATTCTATATAATTGTATAGGTATATAGTTTTAAGAATCTTAATAAAGTACTAGTGTAACTGCTTAAGGTTAAAAAAAAATTTAAAATAAAATAATACAATTGTGCTTATATAAAGATAAAAATAATATAATACAGGTTGATAAATTTATAAATATAATTATAATAAATTTGTAACTATATAAAAGATGACTATAAAGAGATCAAACTGTATATAGTAAAATTAATATAAATAGAATTAAATTAAAATTAAAGTTAAGATTAAAGTTAGGATTAAATTAGAAAAGAAAATATTTTTTATTAGTAAAATTTTGATATTAAAAAGAGTGCATCAAATGCAAAATATGCTAAAAACTAATATCTTATATAAAATTAAACTTTTTATTAAATAAAATAATTTTAACATTATAAGCAAAATTATTTAAAGAACCAAATAATACTTATTTTGAAATTTTTAAAACTTTTAACAAAAACTTTTATTAATAAACTTTTTTATTTTACTTTTTTGTAAAAATGATTAAATTTTTTGTATAAAACTATAAAATATGAAAATGTATTAATAAACTTTTTTTGTAATTTTATAAAAATTTTAGATAAATATAATTTATTCTTTAAACAACTTTATTTAAAACACTTAAATTACTTTACATAATAAAATTTTAATTTTTAAATATATAACTACAATTATTATTTAATTAAATAAAATTTTTAAATAAATTATTATTTAATAAAACCTTTATAATTACAAGTTTATATTTTTAATATAAATGTAATTATATAGAATACACTCTATTTAACAATATTTAACTTTATTAAATCTAAATAAGTTTTAACTATTCTAATAAATTAAAATAAATAAATAAATAAATTTTGTTTTACTTTTATAAAGCAAAACCTTATTTTATTTTCAAAAAAAAAAAATCTCAAAAATCTAAAATAAATTACAATATTAATATTAAATAATTTATTTTAATATACTGTATTATACTATTGCAATTAAATAGAAAGTTATTTATTAAAATTTAAAAACTTTTTAGTAGATTAATAAATATACTATATAGTTTAATAACATAATACCACCTTTAATATTTAAAAAAAAAATAAAAATAACAATACAAATAAAACAAAATTAAAAACTTAATATCTTAATTTTTTCTATTTGATTATATTATTATTTGATTAATACAAAATACGAAATCTAAAAAAATTAATCACAATAAAAAAACTTGCTAACCTCCCATACTAGTGTAAATGATTTTTACCACTATTGATAAAGTTAATGTGTTAAATTAGTAAAATATAAAATTAATTTCACTAATTATAAACGTTACCGCAGTTACACAACAATCGCCGCGATAACAATTATTTATTGTTATACACTATATAATTATAAATCTATGGTACAAAAAAGCCTTAACGATTATTTCAAAATTTCATCGGTAATTTAATTTCATGCAAAGTTAAAATAGTTTAAAAGTAAAATATAGTTTATCTTTAGTTTATCTTTTTTTTATACATATAAATAGTTGCCTATACAAATGAACTAATTTACATAATCAAAGCAATTGGATAGTAATTTATAATACCAACTACTTTTTTTAAAAAAAATTTTGAGTCAAATTTGACAATGATTAAGCAATTACACCTCAAGCATTTAAGCTACATAATCAAATAATTTGTAATAAACACGTACAGAACCAAGAATTCAACAATTACTAATTCTAAAAATCAAATTTCATATACACGCAGTTATTTTCTAATGCAAATCATTTGCTTGGTTCGTTTACTTGCAAGTTAAAAAAAAAAAAAAGGAAAAAATACTCAATTTATATAAAAAAAAAATGCATTCATTCAATTTTCTCTTTTTTTTTTTACATAAAGTACATAACCTATTATCAAAATTATAAGGTTAAATTCAAAATTACTTAAATTATCAATCAAATAAAAATAAATTGTAAGAAATTTACCTTCTGCAGCTCTGGTCTTACAGTCCCGAAAGTGCCCACCACACCAGCACCACCACCAGACGATTCCGAATCACTCCAATTTCCACCACGTGCATGAAAACGTGCACGATGGCAGACCAAATGCGCATAATAGACAGGCGGTACCTAAATATAAAGAACGCATAAATATATATTACCGACAACAATGATAGTGATATGAAATTCATACCAATGAAACCGCTCTAGTACATCTCGCGTACAGGTAACATAGATTATACGACATTGTTTGCAAACTAAATGTTACATGATAAATAAATAATAAATGATGACATGTATCTATTGCATAGAAAAGAGAACAGAAATATAATACAAAGGTAACTCACGTATCTGGGTTAAAGTTATTTTCATCATACAACACACGATAATGTGTTGGACGGGAAGTTCCTTGAAGCCCGGCATGACTTTGCAAGTCTATATAACATTTTATTATAAGTTATAATCATGAAAAATGTAATGTGATGAATACAAAAAACTATACTAACAAAAATCAAATTGGTATGGATGCGTAATATCAGATTCTACTACGGTGCCAGGAAGACAATTTCCAGTTCTATCAGAATCCCTTTTATCTACCGGGAAGAAACGGGTATGATGTCTTTTTTGTACAATAATAAATGTTATGGTTGGTTTATATTGAGATTCTAGTCCTTGGCATGCACCTGATTAAGATGATTAAATAAAGAATAATAATTATTAGATACTTTAGAATATCGATGATTATAAATTAATTACAAATACCTCTTATCGCTTCGACTTCATTCTTAAGAACTTCGGCAAATTGACCATCTGATACACCATCCCGATAAAATATAATTCTATCTGGTTTTCTACCACATGATTGATAGAAATTTCTTAACAATTCTTTAATCATACTAGAAAGGTCAGCTATTATTTCTGATTTTCCTTCTTGAATGCGTATAGCAGCAGCATATTGCGATGCCTTGGCATCCACAGAGGAACATATACCAGCAATTGAAGGACGAGATTGATCGGCTAAAATAATAATACCATAAGATCATAATTAATCTGAAATAAACATTAAAATAAATTTCAAACATACAAGCTGATGGATGAGTAACATCCGCTCCCATTAGAATGGTTGGGCGTTCAGTAACGAACGGCAACTGATTTGTACTTAAAAAGGAATTCATGCCACCAATTTTTACATTCATTTTAAGACAAACATTTGCACAATATTGTTTTTTTGCGGCCATCATATGTTTACCCTGAATACACTGCGATGCAACACCGATGATTGTATCGCATACGCGCTTAATTTCAGCATATAAAGGAATTCCCACATTTGGTAAAACGCATAATATAAGTTGTGGATGTGCTTTTGCAGTATTTCCAGCCATAAGCCACATTTGCTTTAATATTTCCTCAATATTCCCTTGAGGATTATGATGTTTTATTGGAGGAGTTCTATTTGGAATATTCTATATAAAAGCATAAAAGTATAATAATTATAATGAGATTAATGGTTTTTTTTTTTTTTTAAAAAAAAAAAAGGTAATATTATTTAAGCTTACCATTCCTGTATCCTGGCATGTGACAACAAGCTCCCGAATGAATGCCTGAACAGCTGCGGACGGAAATTGGGTTTCAGGGCCAAACACAACAACAGACCATGATCCGAGAGTAGCGCCAGTAGCCACTTTCTTATCTCTCAAATTCCAGGAGCCATCTTTTGGTGCAAAAATAGCATCACGAGATGATGGATGGTATTCAATCCTAGGGGGTGGTAAAATTCTAGCTGGAACCTATAATAATTAAATTTAATAAATATATATAAAATGATAATGATGATAATATAAACATAAAAATATAATAATTTATAACTTACTAAAGCCATTTCATCTGAAACTTGCATTCCGAACTGTTGCAAATATTCATTCCTTCGATAATCAAGGATATTGAGACCCTGCCTTATTTTATTAGCACGAACATTTGGATTTTGGCAAGTGAATTTAATCATATCCGCTGTTTGCCTGTCGTTAAGCTTTCTTATGTGACGTTGCCCCTATTGATCATAAAACCAGTATTAATTAATATTTAATATTAATTAATATATATATGTATATATAATAGAGCTGATACATACTTCTATAATCTCACAAACTTCCATAGGAAAGAAAACATCTTTTCTCACAACAACACAGGGAAGATAAGGAAAGTTTAACCGTTTACGATATTGCTCTTGAAAATAAGTGGCAACATCTTGAGTAGTTCCTTCTATGTCGAATCTCGTATGAGTTGCGGGTGTGCTTGTGAGTTTAATGATTTTGTATTTTCGCTTTGATGCAGGGCTATCACCACGATGAATGACTCGAATTTTAAGGTTTTTTATTGCCCTCTCTATTGTAGCTCTGTCTCTTTCTTGTAAACCTCTACGAAGATCATCTGGAGATCTACAACCCATTATTGATACTACAGTATCTACAAGATTACCACTTCTGTAAAAAGCTGTAGCACTCAAGTCGACGTTGATCATCATCTTTCCTGGAGAATAATAAACAGTAAGAAATAAAAATGATAAAAAATAGCAGAATAATTTCAGGAAAAAAAAAAAAAAAGTAATGAGAGAAATAAATTTAAACTAACTCATTGTAGCACGCGCGGATTGATAATAACCCTGCCAGATTTCGGCACCACCAGAAATTTGCATGGCACCGGCTGAGGTATAAAAGGAACGACCAACAGTTTCATGCTGTAATGATGGTTTATAACGTATGAGAACATCAAGAGCCGTATAAGCTACATCAAAGTTTAAAAGTTTAAATAAATGCGAATGAATCATCGTAGTATTAATATATAACATTAAAATTTTAACATTAATTTATACAAACCAGTCAAACAATTGGAAGTTTCAGCGCCTCCATTATTAAGAAATTTATGTAGTTCATCCATATTAATCTCGCCGACTTTTTTAATCCTAATTTTAAAAGCACGTGGTGGACGTTTTCCAGAAGGAGCACCATCATCTTCTGGTAATATAATCTGAAATTAAGTTGTAAAATCAAATAAGTAAAATCAAATGATGAAATCAATGATAAAACTAAATAATAAAATTAATAAAATCAAAATTTCGAATAAAAAAACAAAAACAAATGAAAACAGATCAAAATATCATTTCATTACCTCAAATGTATAAGCGTCACCAAACGCAAAATTTTTTGAAGAAAAGATATTTTTACGACCTATAAAAGTATATAGGTATTAACAAATGATTTAAAAATCAATTTATCAATTTTTTCTCCGGAAAAAAACTTTTTTTTTTGATCGGGTTAACATGACGCGTAAAATAAAGGAAAAATGATTAAAGACCCAAACGAAATTCGTATTTCACGTGTTATGGATTCGATAAAGAAGCAGCACGTTCGAACCTAAAGAAATCTTTGTTTAACAAACCATCATAAATGGGTCTTGCGCCAGCTAAAGCAGTAGGACCATATTTAGCTTCAAGTTGTTGAAAAACCCTTCTGTTCAATGGAGGAGGGACGTCAGGTGTTATAGTAGCATCATAATGGAATATACTGCCGTCTGGTAAGGAAGTAACTTCAAAGAAGTTTGCACGGACGCGTGTTGCTCTACCATAAGAACCAAAACCAGGTCTTCTAGCGAACTCGATTATTTGTGCAGCCATTTTTTATTTTGACTTTTATTATTTTTAGATTACTTGATTATAGTTAAGAATGTGAAAGAAATAACAACAGTTGTCGAAAGCTTATCAATTCATTCGGAAAGGAACGTTGAAAGTGTGGGAGACGGATCATAGAAAACAAAAATAGATTTTTTGAGGTGGCTTAAGTGAGTAACGTGAGCAATATATATATACAACCCATAAACAAGATTTTTATCTTGTTTTAAAAAATAATTGGCTACAAATAACGGATTATCCTGCGTAACAAACGACTTGTATACATACTTTAGGGTCATCCGCCGAGCTTTTTCAGTGAAACACGAACGCGGAACTTTTTAAGAACTTTTTAATAAGAGAGACAAATTATATAAAAAAAATTTTTGGAAAAATTGAAAATCCTTTTTATTAAACTAGATAGATTATCGACCAATCGATAATGATCATGATTGATAAACTTTTTTTGATCACCGAACACAGCCTCGGGAATAGATATAATGAGTTTAGGAAAAAAAATGAGACGTAATCCGTGATGAATCAAAGAATCGCGAAGTATCCAATTAATTGAAATTATTTTTTTTATATTTAATTATTATAACGAAAATAGATGAATGAAAATACTGATACTTGATTGGTTAAAAAAAAAAGATTAACATTAATAATATATATTTTTTTTAATATATATATTTTTATATATAATTAGGCATTAATGGTTTTTTTATCGTTAGAATATTTTTTTTAAAAAAAATTTTTTTTCGATTATAGCATTTAAAAAAAGAAATTAAAAAGCATTTAAAAAGTGAGAAATGAAAGGAAGTGCGTGGTAGATGATTTACGCATAAAGTTATTGTTTCCAAAAGAAAAAAAAAAAAATTAAACTTTTCAGCCCAATGGTAAAGATCATATGGTTATTGACATTTTTAGAAAGGATAACAAATAATTTAGAACTATTACATAGCGCAGGTGTCAATAATCCATTTTTTTCTACGTATTATATGTAAAACGGTTTATTTTTATTTTTTTCCAATTACCGTTACTGAATCAATTTTCATAGCTAGTCATATTTCACAAGTTTCGGATAAAAAAATAAATTTGTGATCACTACAGTACATGCATTAACCTGTCAATAAATGACGTAAATCCTTTTGATTTGAAAAGAGAAAAAAAAAAAATCAACAAGTATTACTGACGCGACATGTGTTAACATCTTACCATTACCACGTATCAAAGGTAATTGTTAAAAATATTAGCTGTACAGTCAGACAATCTTGTTATTCGAAAGTTATAAATCTTTCACAGCCACCAATAACAAACTCATGATCATCGATCAATGAAAATAGGATGATCAACGTGACGCATTTACAGTAGCGTCATTGTCACAAAGAACATGCATTTTATCCTGTAAGAAGTAAAGAATAAATCTTGTTTGTATTTATCAAGCCAACATATAGTAAATTCGTCTTACCTTAAAACCATTGTATACATGTGATTCTATTGCTTTTGCATGATCGCGAACCTGTTCCTTTCATCAATATTTATCCAATTTAAAAAGGTCTTGTCACGATGAAAGGGCTTTATCTCACATCATCACATGCATATAATATATCTTGTTGCGTTCTGGTATATTTTGATAGTAAAAAACTTCGTTTCGAGAACCAAAAATGGGGATCGTTAAAAGCAGAATTGATTTATTTTATTTATCGTTATTATGATTCTTTGAACATTAGAATTATATTATAATTAAATTAAGATTCAAGATTAATATTATACGTAAAATTGTTTCCTCGATGATTTTCCTTGATAATTTTTTATTAATGCTTCAATGTGGATTTTTTGACATTCAATTTACAAATTCATTAATTGAATCTAACCAACATTTAAAGTAAGTCTCGCGTTGTCTATCATTCATTATCATTTTCAGCTTAACAACTTCTAAATTCATATATGTTATAATTATAGATACTTAGGATAATGATTTTTACTTTATTAGAATTGAATGATAAATTAAAAAATGATAAATTAATCGATCGAAAATAAAACCACTTTTTCAAGTAGTATTTCTGATTATCTGAGTTTATAACGTCATATTTACAACATCAAATGCGTCGAACATTATCAATATCACTGATATTTAATATTACTAATATTGAATATTTGAATATTTGAATGTTGAATATCAAATATCCACTAACTAAATATCGAATATTATCAATATTATCAAATATTATCAATATTATCAATATCGGCATTATTAATCCATTTATAATGATTATTAATCCATTTATAATTTATAAATTGAAGTATCACAGATGAATGAAAGTTGAATTTTGATCAAGAATTAATAATAATTTCTACATAAATAAAACATGTCTTCTAAAGAAGTTACAAAAGAAGATACAAAAGATCAACTACCAATAAACAGAAATTCCGTTCATCCTCTAAATGTTAAGGGCGCTTATCCTACCGGTTCGTGTCTAAATGGTTGTTGGCGTTTTTTAAGGATTGGTCCCGGGTAAAAAAATCCACCCTCAATCTTTACTTTTGTCTTGGACAACTGATTAGGGATTCTTTCATCGGGTCCAATCCTTAGATGTTTGATATGTATATGTATATGTACCTATATATGTATATATATATATGTATTTTTATTATAGCCGAAGCAAAAATGCTTGGTGAAGGTACGAAACAAACTCCTCAAAAAGGTGGCCTTGGTCAAAAAGTCCAAGAACAAGAAATCGGTCATGGATTCATTCCAAAAAAAAGGGGTAGTAAAATGAGAGAGGAGAAAGAATTTGAGGAGTTGTCTCAGGAAGCTGAAAAATATTGATTAGATTAGGAAATGTATTACTTCTTTTTTTGAATTACTATGAACAATATTGAAATGTATTACTTCTTTTTTCGAATTACTATGAACAATATTTTTTGTTAACAAAGGATCATAACAACGCGTGTTTTAACACAGCAGTGTTTTGTACAATAAAATACTTTGCGTCTATTTTCACTATCTTCGTTATATTTTGATTATCACTATTTTCACTATCTTTATTATCTTTGATTATCTTCACTAGTTCACTATCTTTATTATCAATATCTTAAAATTCTTTTAAAAATCAAACCCGAATCACGTGATACCATAATTCTAGCCATAAGTCCGTGGTACTAACGTTAGATTGACCAGAATTATGTAGATCGATTAAAAAAAAAAGGCTTTGTATTTTTCGATATAATTGAATATACAGTCAGACCTCCGTAAATGCATCCCCTTGGGACCAGAGTAAAAAAAAAAAAAAATTGAAATCTGTATTTAGAGAGAGATGCATTTATAGAAAGCAAAATGTATAAAACTCTTGAAATGGGATCGAATTATACCATACGTTTAATGAGAATTTACATAGAGAGTGCATCTATGAAGGTCTTAAAATTACAATGTTAATCGTACTTTAGCATGTCATTCTTTTCATTTTTAATCATGATTAGGTTGTTTCATACGCAAATAAACTTATTATACATTGCCTCTATGATTTATTAAATTGATCCCTAACCATTCAGAGTAATGCGGGGAGTCTTAAGCATACCTGGAGGTAGTTTATCATTGATAAAAATTCATGCTATGTCATTGATAAAAATTCATGATATGTTATTGGCAAAAATTCATGCAATATCATACAATAAGTATATAATAAACTTGTCATTTAACAAACTTGTCATTTTAACATGGCATAATTATATATAAATATACATTAATAAAATAATTTATTATTTCGGTATTATTTTTGATTTGTCAATCAAATTATTTATAATAAAAATTAAATAATGATTTTACTTATAGGGGTATAAACTAATATCTTTAAAAATTTAAGCAAGTAAATAGTGACATGACACTTTCACTACTTGGAAGCATGAACTTGAACCAAAAGGCTGTACGTGAAACTGCAAAATTGCTTGCAAAATTATTATGTTAAAAGATCTATTGTGTGATCATAATTATTTCCTAAATTTATTTATTAAGACATGCTCAAGGAATAATAAAGAGGCTATGATTCAGCTTAAGTCATGCGCTCTCAGGCGTGTTCATGCCTCCTGCTAGAAATTAGAACTTCATTGACTACATTCGATGCGCTATTAGGCTCCACTCTATAAAAAGGCAGTGGTTTTAACGCGCGGTATTTTAGGAGTTTTCATTGTAATGTAGTAACTAATTAAGGATTATAACTAAGAATTGGAAATCTACTCAGATAACTCGGGTAATCCAATACCCAGTGAAGATTGTTTAAAGAGATCAATTTACGTTAAACTTTTCATTTACAAAACTATTCCGTATGAATCACATAAATCACATAAATCACATGAATCTCATGAATCACATGATAACAGATAATATTTTCTTTATTTAGAATAGTGACCAGAATTAAAAAAAAAGAATAATTTCGACTGGAATTAGTTAATGATGATCCATAAGTACAATAAAAAATGGTCTTAAACAAAATATCGAAATATCGAATTTCCAATCAATTCAAGTTATTTTTTTTACACAAGGTCAATCCAAGAAAGAATAACTAGATATGGTGAGATGAATTCCAAGGTAAGGCTTGGCGGAAAAGGGTATATTAATCATATATCCGAATGTCTATACTAATTATATATTCTGATAGATTATTCCTAATTCGTAAAATCGCGTCTTTTATACTTATAATCCTTATCTTTCTTTATAAATTATTATACTTATTTTAACCGAAATGGGATTTCCGGATCATCCAGTAGTTTGAATAAAAAATTATTTGTTGATCAAAAATAAATGTTCAAGATTTTTTTTTGTTATGGTGAAAATACGGTTAACATAGTAGGATAAGTTCATCATCGGATAAGTGGGTAAGTTCATCATCGGATAAGTGGATAAGTTCATCATTAGATAAGCGGATAAGTGATAACTAGAATATCCCGTTTCGATAAAGAATTTTGTAAATCAAAAACAGGTAATTACCACTATCAGCATTAGTAATTGAATTACGTGTGTATTATTGATTAAAATACGCGTATAATACTGTACATTATAGAGATATTCTCAAAAGCTTGAATATTGCATGTAACCTGTAGTACTTTGATGAATACTTTTGAATACTGTGAATACTTTTGAATACTGTGAATACTTTTGAAAACTATTAATACTGTGAATATTTGTGAATATTGTGAATACTGTGAATATTTGTGAATACTGTGAATATTGTGAATATTGTGAATATTGTGAATATTGTGAATACTGTGTGAGATGAAAAAATCAGTAGTCGATCTTTATCCTTTTAAATAAACTAAATGAATATCTTTATAAATGATTGTCAGGGAGAAGAGGAGGGATCATTTTTTTTAACATTGGGACCCCAACTAAAGGTTTCCCTTAATAAAATTCCCCGAGACAGTAACTTAGTCATCAAGTCACGGGATCTGTGAAAGATGGCCCGAACGTTTGTTTCTGTTGTTTCTATTGTCTCTGTGCGTGTGAAAAATCAAATGTTTATTATCACCCACGCGCTGTTCAATTATTCAATGTATATCTATATACGGGTTATCGCGATATATTATATATATTATGTTTTATTATTATTATTATGATTATTTTATTATATGACTTAAATAAAAAAAATATATTTTATCAATATATACGTATTAAATTTGTATTAGATTATCATCGATGGCTGAATTTAAATAAATTTGGCAATGGTCATGTCTTTGGGGTTTTTGTTTGGGTATATTAATTATCGCTTAAGTCATCAAGGTGGCCCAAGTCCATCTTTCGGAAGCATCTTTGATATATCTTTATTGAAATTTGAATTAACTATTTATGTATATTTCATTGTCACAAATTCTTACTAAAAATCACAAGATATTACGCGTTATATACTCTGTAGTAATAAAAAGAATTGAAACGACATATCAATTTCTTTACGATATAACAGATGACATAACAGGTTTGAAGCGAAAAAAATGAATATGATATAAATAGTATAGCAATAGCCATATACATTATGCACTGTAACATAAAATTAGCCTAACTATAATAATACATATGCGTGTAACATTCACAAATAAAATTTGGTTTATTACATGTGTTAATGTAGGATTTACATACTAAGAATTATATAAATTGTACTGTATTGTACGTAGAAGCGCACGTACGTACGTGTAAGCAGGTTTTATTATTATATAATTGATTATTAATTATGTATTTTTTATACAGTTAAGTACTTTTGTAATAAACAAAGAGAAGTGAATTATAAAAGTTTTGTTGAATTTTACATGATTAGATAATATAGCAATAATTGTTTAAATATAAATAATTTATTTTGTCTATAATTTTAATTAGATGTAAATCAAAGAATTAGTTGGTTTAAATTACTATAATTCTGACATACTAATAAAACTTGTAATTTACTTGTAATTTTTATAAAGATTTATACATATATATACGTATTATTAAATGATTTTAATATATATATTAAATTCTTTGTATGATTAAAATATTGGTTATAACAAAAAAGATTTACTTATAAAACAGTCTAATACTTTAAAAAGGCATTTTTGCAAAATTTACTATTGCATATATTGTAAAATCTTGCTAATTTTCTAAATTTATTTAACAAATTATTAAATATAGCAATTTTTATATATATACTGTATACTTGTATTAATATAAAATATAGAATTAAATTAATATAAAAAATATAAAATTAAATTAATATAAAAAATATAAAATTAAGTCCTTTACTTTAATATCAATCTAAGCAATAACTTGAATTTTTATATATTAAATTTACTTTTATATATTAATTTTAATATAATATTTTATTAAAATAATACAAATAAATTAATATTAGTAAGGGTCAAGTATATAAATTATAATAAATTATAAGATCTATCTTATATTTTTATTATTCAATAGATTATTTAATAGATCATAACAAACTATAAACCAATATTAATTTAAAAAAATACAACTTTTGCAATTTTTATTTTTTTTAATAAAAATATAATTATTATATATAATATATATAATATAAATATATAAAAATATAGTTTTTTTTAAAAAATTTTTTGTTAATCAAATATTGTTTTAGAGTTATTTGCGATATGATTTTATTTTTAAACATATGAATCAAATCAATTTTAGTGTAATTTATCACGTTTTTTGTACAGTTTATACTAATAAATCCCAATATTAATAATTGAACAATTAGGCAATCGAATTAACCAATAGTATAAAATGATTAATTGAATAATTGAACTCAAAACAATTAGAATAAAACCGCCAAAACTATGAATAATACCAGATATACTGTATATATATATATATATATTTATTTATTTAAAATAAACTAAAAATAAACTAAAATTCTTGAATAATTCTTGAATAAAACCCTGGAAAAGCTTTGACATTCAAAATGTACAACGCTCCAAGCTGTCAAAACTCTTGGATATTTTTTACAAACAATATATGTATTGTATATTGTTGTATATTGTATCAAAAGAATACATGATTATATATCCCATTTAAGTTTTAATAATTTTAATAACTTAAATTAGGTATAATTATAATAACAAAAATAACCAGAAATGTTTAATGTACAACGCAGACCCTGGGTACTATAACGGAGCAGGGTACTATTTGGGTACTAAACAAAAATAAACTTGTGTAGAATATAAAACTTGTACACCAGTATATGAGATTAGAGGGTCAGATTCAAATTTCCAAAGAAATAGCGATGGTGTAGCACTTTAATTCAATGATTTGATTGGTCAAATTATTGACTCGAGCACCTGCAGACCATGTTACACATACGAGAAAGGATCACCGTTGCAAGCAAGTTTTCATTCATTCACTCAATCAATCATGTTAAAATATGAAAGATTTTGATAAAAGATTGGTTTATCTTATCTCAACTCGTATACATATTTATCTTATCTTGTACTCACCGCAAAGTTATGTGGCCTTTAAAGCCAAAAAATCTGTACATGTGCTTATGATATTGTTTAATAATCACGCCCAAACCACATTAGCTTATATAAAAAAAAAGAACATTCTTTTTTGTAAAGCGACAATATTTTATATACATTTATTATATATATAGATATATATATATATATCCTAATTATCATTCATTCCATTTCTTTCATAATTATCTCTAATTTGTCAAGATTATCATGACAGAGAGATGATCAGCAATAAAAAGCCCGATTTTTCTTAAAGTTCTTCATTGTAAGCATTGTACGAAGGTCCAACCAACCTTGCAGCAAGAAACAATGTGAATAGTTTTATTTATGTTTCATTGACTAATTTAATTTTGATAGTATTACGAATATATATAGTATATATAGAATGAAACGTACTCCTTTTTTGTGGAGATGGCTTTTTATTTTCAAAAGATACGTAAAATTTGCAAATGTGTTTCGGCGTTTTTTTTTTCCATATAATGTAATAATTGTGATATTTATAGGTTGAATGCTTAATGTTTTTGATAAAAAAAAATCATGGTATCTGATCCAAAAGGATCTAAAAACATGGTTATATACAATTTTCATTGGTAACTTTATTTAAATTTGGTAATATAAATCATTTTGAATTAAAATCTTTTTCTTTCGAGAAAATATACAAATAGATATGCAATATTACATATATTATTATTTTATAAAATATCATTACTGTAATAAATATCATTACTGTAATAAATCTCGTTACTGTAATAAATCTCATGAACGTTATTTCGTATTTTTGGCCCGAATTAAGCTTAATTTAGGCCAAAATTCGTCCTGCGCATTCTTATGCGAAAATATAATAATTATATTAATCACATTAATTATATTAAATATTATTGATCTGATATAGTAAATATATTAACATAAGTATTATATCATTAGAATTATAAAATTAAGTATTAATATCAATATCAAGAATTCTTTTAAAAATTCACTTAAACATTCACTTAAAAGTTCATTTAAAAAATCACTTAAACACGTATAATAACACATGTATAATAACACACGAATAATAACACACGTATAATCACACATGTATAATCACACACGTATAATAACACACGTATAATAATACACGTATAATAACACATGTATAATACAAGATATTGAAGTTACCTTAATAGAACGATTATTTGATTAAATAATGGAAGTAAATACTAAATAAAATACCAATTAAAAAGAGGTTTACAAATTTATATATTTATGTAAATACAATGAGTAAACATAAGCCTTATTTCCTAGTTTCTCTTTCAAAGTTATCATAAGTACACAAGATTCTTTGTTATTTCACAAAATTTTACATTATTAAAAATTTATTCACATGCTTTTAGTAGATACGCAGTATCTAAATTTATTTACCAACGAAAAAAAAAACAAGAATTCTAATATCTTTTACCCCACATTTCCTTTTCTATAAATGGATGAAAGTCCTCAAAGAGGAAATGAGAACCTTGTGGGGTATGATATTAACCTTTGTTATGAACATCCTGTATTCGAAAGACTATTAGTGCTACATGACAAGGACCCATTCATTGTAAATATTGTTTAAATATTGTTGAATAATTTAAAGAATAGAGTTTAGATTAGGCGCGGATACTTCTTATTGTTTAAATATTTTGGTGACACTAAACAGAATCTAGAAATAAACAACAACACAACAAGACTTAATTAATACTTATAATTTTATGATTTGAAGAGCATTGTTTGTACAAAAGAAAGAGACGACCAAAAGAAAAGTAGGGGTCAATTCTCATAAGTCACATAATTGAACACAATTGAAAAAAATCAAGGGTTTAAAAAGAGACTGGGGAGGGACACAAAAAATGAATTAAGAGTAGGCTATAAAAAAATATATATATTACAGTATTATCGGGATTACATTTAATGACGTACAAAATCTTGAACAGGTTTAGTCAAAAAACATTTGATAAACATTTAAACTTTGACATAAACGTATTTTTTCTATCATACAGAATGACATATCACTTTCTATAATAAATGTTTCAATTATCAGTTATCGGAATTAGAAAAGAGATAATGATAACGTTTTTTTTTTTTTGTTACCGAATTTGGAATAATGAGGTGATTTAATCGGGTCATCCAATGGCATGACTACCCATGTGGCGAATAATTTATCATCACGCCTGATACCCTGATGCCTGATATTTTGATTCTCTGATATACTGATATATTGATACATTGATACACATTGATACATTGATACCGTGATGCCTTGATTACGCCTGATACCTTGATTATGCCGCTGATACCTTGATTATGCCGGATACCTTGATTACGCCGGATACCTTGATACCTTGATATCTTAGATACTTTGCTAAAGTGGTTTTAAAGACTATAACGAATATAGTCTAACATAATGTGTCAATCATGCGAGGAATTAAGAAATGCAATAAATCATAATAATTAAAGAATAATATTCATTACAGTATTTTACAGTATTTTACAGACAATGTTTGATAAAAATTGAATACAATATCGAGTATACATATAGTATCGTATACAAGCATGAAAAGATAGTGAGGCGAAGGATGTTATGAAAAAAAACACAGCCACCATAGCCTACCGTGTAAATGTTTAAGTATTTTTGATGCATTATAGTTGTACATTACATCATTTCCGAGTAATTGATCTATGGATCTGATTTTTCGGATAGGCGGATATCAAGATCTTTTACGCATAAAAGTAATTGAAACCACCAAAGAAGCTATCTCCCGTATCCGAGTAAAGACCTTTTCAGTAATATGTATGTATGTACACATTCATAACGATATCATTCATTTAATAATTTGTCATTGTGATGTATTGGATGGATGTATTGGATGTATTGAATATATTGGATGTAGTGTGATGTATAAGGTATCACTTATCAAGATTTCAAGATTTCATTCAATACTCATTATATTTTCTTGTAAGACATAATAAGTGTTTTGAAAGTTTAGAAAGTTCTGGATACATTTAATTCACGCGTTGACTAGTATAATTGTAATTATTTGTAATTATTATAAATTCATCAAATGCATAAAATTAATTACCCCTTTTAAATCACGATTATTACGTTTTAAACACGAGTACTTGGCTAACCTGGCTAACCTGGCTACACTTTACTACATCTGGCTCGATGGTAATACTCATGTACTTTATAAACATTTTTTTTAAAAAAAAAATTCGGTTGTTTTTTCAACATTGATGGTAGTAACACAATAACCTCCGCAGATTAAATATCCAAATTTAGGAAATAGAAAAACGCACGGGCAACATTACAGAGGACTAATTTTTAAAAAATTCTTACAAATCCATATATATATATATAATATATATAATCTAATACATATCTAATACGTATATATATAATATCAGATATATATCTAAAATATACACATGTTTATAATCTTAAACTTTTGGTGATATTCGATTAAAATTCTGCAGTGTTTGTCTTACATATGCAAAATATTACAACATTTTCACAAGTTTTATCTTTTATCACATAGATTTAAATTTATCAACTTTCGTTTAATTCCTTATTATGAAGTACAAAAAAAAACATTTTCTACAAGTTCTTGGCATATAAAATTTCTTTTAGTAGAAAATCATGACCAAAAAATTGATTCTAAATTATCAATTAAACAAATTTATCGATTAAACAAAATTTAATTATCTATTATATCCTGTTTAAAATCCTGTTTCTCATTGGCATACATATTGTGAAAGGATACTCGAGTCTGCATGGTAACTGTTGATAGTATTTATATTTGGATAAATAAATAATATTGATTTACGGTACTGTATCAATATTGTACCTGTACTGTAACAGTACTGTAACTATATCAATATTGTAACAGTACTGTAACTATAACAAGTACTGTAACCGTATTGATTGTATTCAAAGATTTTGATAATCTCTCTCTTCTTTTTTTCTTTATTATTTTTGTAATGGGACAAAATCTTTTTGTTTAATCAAAGTTCAATAAGGTTTATTCCGTTTATATTCAATTGCGTCGTGGGGGAATTAACTTTTAAAATTAGTACAATTAATTAGTACAATAAATTAGTACATACGTAACAATTAGTACGTACAAAAGAAATATACTTACAAGTCACATTCTAGCATTTTCGTTATCCAAGCTTCGAGAAACCTGAGCGTGCATATTTTTGCATATAATGGAAGGGCTGAAAAAGCCATTGGTAAAATTGTAAGTGAAAATTTTTATTTTTAGAGATAATTCCTTTAATTTATTATTTATTTTTTGTGATTAATTTTGTGGTCAAAACAAAATAAAAAACAATAGAACCGTTTAATAAAGATAATGCAAAATATTTATTACTTAAATTTTATTAATTTAAACTTGTTTTAACAAACAAAATTGATACGTATATGCATATATATGTATGTATTAAAAAAAAAAGATTAACGAAAAGCATTAACGTTAACGTTTACGTTAATTAATAACCGTTAAATGTCAATGCTATGTAACACATTTAATACGTACAGCATATACAGTATTAATGGTGTAATAATACAAAGTCGTTAACATTTAACGTTAACATTTAACGTTAACATTAAACGTTAACATTTTAACATTAAACATTTTAACTTTGACGTTAACACTTAACGTTAACATTAAACATTTAAATTTAACGTTAGCATTAAATAAAACTTTAAAGTAAATTAAACATCTATCCAATTAGGTCGAATTCTTCATCTTTTGCCTTTCTCCATAAAGAGTTTCGGAAAAACTTACTTGAAAAAATCAGGTATTGACCTACGTCAGTAATAATGGTCACAAAGAATTTTAAAAATAATAAAATTTCCCGGTGTCTTACTTGTTTTTTTTACTTGTTTTTTGGGGTATATTAAAGATACCCGAATGGGGTTGATTATGGGTTAATTATGGGGTTGAATGATTGAATGAAAAAAAAAACCTGAAATGTGATTACTGAAAGTTACCTATAATAAAGTTGCAGATATGTTTACTATCTTGTTTACCCCACAAAAATCCATTTCCTTTTTTATCCCGAGCTTTGTATCAAAAAATATATACAGTAATAAAGTTACTATTTACTATATACATAAATACTCTATTTAATAATTTATTTAATAATCTATTTAATATATAATCTATTTATTTCGGTGAAATTTATGTCCGGTTAATTAACTAGTTACTTATCGGTTATAATGACTCTTTTACTTGATATTAACTTGATATTAACTTGATATTAACTGGTATTAACTTGGTATTAACTTGGTATTAACTTGGTATTACTTGGTATTAACTTAGTATTAACTTGGTATTACTTGGCATTACTTGGTATGTAACTTGGTATTACTTGGTATTAACTTGGTATTACTTGATATTAGCTTGATATTAACTCGATATTAACTTGGTATTACTTGATATTAACTCGATATTAACTTGGTATTACTTGATATTAACTTGGTATTACTTGATATTAACTTGGTATTACTTGATAATTTGTTAAACAAATTATTATTTATTTTAAACAAACTTATTAATACGTATAAAATGTGAAATTATTTATGTAGCTAATTTACATTCTTTAAACTTTAATACGTATATAAAACTTTAATAGATATATTATAATAAATAACACAAAAATTTAACGTTAAATGATAATAAAATGCATATTGATGTATAAATGCGTTCTAGTTAAAGAATTCTAAATAAAGTATAATTTGTGCTTACGTAATTTCAAATCTCGGGCTGAATGAAGCATGAATTGAAAGTTTTCTCTTTCTTCACTGTTATACGTAATTATGAATAAAATAACAATATGATTAATTACCAACAAAAAACATTCAATTTAACTATTGCACTTTTGTTTATTCAAAACTAAATGTTTTGCGCAAATGTTTACCCGAAATTTAGTGTAGCATATAAACATACGTACCGAATTTTGGTGTATTGTATCGTATCGTACCCATGATGCCTTTTGTATGCGTTTTGTGGGGTAAAAATGATCGATGTGTAATTTGTTTGGTCAAGTGACTTTTATGTGGTATAAATGTGTAGTATAAATGTGTGATATTTGTTTACATACTTCCTTTTTCTCTTTGTAAAAAGAACATTAAATGATTAGCAATCTTGCTTCTTTGTGTTTATTTGGTGAAAAAAAATAAAAACAGATGTGAAATCGATTCATTGCTTTTTTAGTATTTTTAATGTATTACTAGTTAAATCTTTATATATTCGGCTCACCCCAAATAATTCCTTTATAATTCCTTTATTATTCCTTTATCATTCCTATATTATTCCTTTATCATTCCTTTATCATTCCTTTTATATGTTTTATACGTAATTTACAAGTGTAATATTAAATAAATCTTTTTTCCTAAAAAAATCATTAAATCATTTATCCTAAAAACATTAAATCCTTTTTTCTATATTAGTTTAATCTATACCCTGCGGACCAACAAATAATCTGAATGCATATATCGCTCTTTTTTTCTATTTTTATTCTACTAACTTTTTATGATTTCATTATTTAAATATAGGTATTAATAAGAATTTTATTAGTAATGACCTACAAGTGTTACATCACGCGGAAAAGTTCTTATGAATTTTATCTTTGAAGTTGCTCCACACAAATCTCGTACCTACCTACCTATCTATCTACGTACGTGCCTACCTACGTACTTTATCAATTTTATGAATGAACATGAATTTGACATTGTAACACAAATGTCCGTTTCTTCTTAGTGGTCCTTTATAATCTTTTCACTTATATCATTACGATGCATTACATGCAGTACAATGCATCACTATGCATCACCACGCATTACGTTGTCTGTTAATATATTCTCCGTCATTGTGCCGCTATCCATTGTGTAATTTGATAGTCCATGTAATGCAAATTCATGTGTGACATTAACGCCCGGTTACATTTTTTCTATTTTTGTATTTAATTCTTGCTTTGGTGAACTCACTATACAGCGGTCAGTGTGCTCTTATCTTAATGCGTTTCCTACTTTATTAAATCATTCTTAAAGCCTAGAATCCATTTTTTGTCTTAATCCTTCGCCACTGGTCGCGTTTCGTGTAATTATATTCTCAATTAGTCTTCTTTGATCTATACTTAATAAGACACCCCCGTGAAATTGATGCCTTATCATATGTCGTACATAACACTGCTGTAACACTGTCCGTAACACAGGAATAACAGGGCGTGTATAATGTTATC